CCAGATCCTTAAGGACAGGCACAGGCCACAGAGCCCTGTCTCCCCTCAGGCCCCCAGTCATTTCAGACCATCCATCATCTCTTGTCAGGACTAACAGGGGAGCGTCCTCTTTGGACAGAGGGAGATCCCAGGGGTCTGTTTATGCCCTGCCACTACCAGACGGGCCACCAAAGGGAAGTCACACCTTGCAGTCCCCAGCTTTATAATCTCTACAATGAGGAGGCAGAAAGCCTTGGGTGAATAAACCATCTTTTCAATGTCAAATCGCGTGAGTCAAAGTTTTGCACATTAATCTACCCCATGCAAAACCTGCCCCCAAATTAAGCAATATTTTCAAAAGAAAGTAAAGCAACAAAACAACACTGTCAGGAAAACAGGAGCATGAACTGTGTGCGGCAACAGCCTTCTACAACAACTTAAACCAGGGGCTTGTGGGGAAAAGCCAGCTGGGAATATCCTAGGAGAAGAGAGTAGGGGGAAATATTCTGCACGCTTGACACTATATTCTTTAGGTAAAAGTTCCCTGAGATCCTAACCAGATAAAACAATGAAAGGTAAAACTCATTTGGAAGTTTATGAATAATCTATGACCTGGTAAAACTTTATTAAAAATTATTCATAAAAAACAGAAGAAGTGTATAAAACGCGTTCTAGGAGGAGAGTTTTTGTTCTGCAAACTATAACCATAAGCAATGTCACCGGGTTGACAAGGACTGCAGAAGAACGCACTTTTAAAAAGCACTTGTGCACAGTGGCTGTGACAGCTGCTGCTGCTGCTGAGGGACTGTGACCTTTATCAGAGCAGGCCCAACGGGGTCTCCAACTTACAGCGGTTGTTTATGAGCAGTAATTCAATTCTTTTCGTATAAGCAAAAGTAGCCATCTATTGCTGTCACTAATTTCAATTAACGCGTTGACTGGCTAAAGCAGCGTTCCCCAAAGTGTGCTCCATGTGACTGCGTTTCCGTGGAGAAAAGGGGTCTGCTCAGGTCTGGAAATGTGTTCCTGGTGGGTCCCAGGGCTCGTCAGCACAGGGAAACCTCCCAGGAGGTCTCAGTTTCCCCAATGACCCTAGAACCTTTTTTTTTCCTCAAGGAAAGTCTACAACCGTCTTACTTCATTAGTGCTCCATGGCACACTGCTATGGAAATCACTAGGGAGAATCCACGATGGGGTCTGAAGTCCTGTGACTATCCCATCTGCCTATGTTCCTTCCTCAAGAGAAGCAGGTGGACTAGCACACTCCACTGCCCATTGGCAACGTACATAAGGACCTGTGTGTCCAGATGATGGAGCCATATCCGCCACAAGAGGAGAGAGGAGTCCCTATTAAAAGTCCCCTATGTTCAGAAATTACGTTGCCTGTTTCTGATTCCTCTAAAGAGAGCTGTGGCCCGGCAGCAGCATGGGCCCCTGAAATAGCCCGCCCCCTCCTGGGAAACGCAGCCTGGCAGGCCCACAGAGACGAGATGACAGGTGGCACTGGGTTTGTCTGCCTCGGCACTGGGGGCAAAACGCCAGCTTGAAGGCCCAGAGCCACTCACACCCAGAAGGACGAGGGCAGGAGCAGAGCAGATCAGTGTGGGTGCTCCTGGTGCTGCCTCTGATCGGAATACAAGGCTCACGAAACGCCGTGCCCCACTCCATGTCTGGAGCCTTCACACGTACCCCACGGTGATCAAAAGGAACCAAAGTACAGAATGGCCCAGGGCGAGGAGGCAGCCCTCCCTCTGCCCAGCAATAATGCAAACGTGCCCCAAGAAATGCCACAGGCAGGCCTGACTCGGGACCAAGACAAAGACTTCAGCCCTCGAGCAACCACCAACCCCCACAGAGAACCAACACCAATGTGACTGCCACTCCTTCATCGTAAGAAGCTTCTCAAATCCACCTTGGGGACCCGTGGGGGAAAGGAGGTCACACCTAGATCACCCCCTAAGGAATCTCTTCAGAGTAAATCAAAACCACCTGAAAGCCTTAAGAATATGCTAAACCCAAAATAACTTTATAAATTTGGAAATCGCGTGGCTTAGTGAAGCACTCTGAACTTCCAGAGGGACTTGTGCCCTTCCAGCCTCTGGTGTACATACGTTCCTTCTCCACGTTAACCACGTCAAGAAACCCCCTAAGAGATCCCAGCCTCTCGGCAAGGAAAGCCATGAAAGAGAATGAGAAACAGGCTCGTTTTCACAAGCAAAATGAAACACTTTTATGTTTTATTCATGCAAAGCGCAAACCCCTGCCCCTGGCGGCATTATGAATTGAATTTGCTCTTGTAAATTGCTGTAAAAAAAAGAAAAGGATCAAAAGCAAAAGAAAGTAAAAAAAAAAAAAAGGCAGGAATGCAAAGGCCCCTTCTTCTAGGGAATGAAAACTCGGGGGACCAGTGGGGGAAACAGAACCTTTTGCTGGCAAACATACATTTTTATTTGCTGCAATCTGGCCCGAGGCCCCAACCAGCACATGAGCTTGTTCAGGTCCTGAGAGCCGACAGGGGACCCTGAGCGAGTTTCTAAATTACAGAAGTTGGAGGAATTGAGCAAAAAAGGGAGAGAGAGAGAGAGAGAGAGAGAGAGAAAGAGAGAGAACTCATGGACACGGACAACAGTGTGGTGATTGCAGGGGGTGGGGTGGGAGGAGGTGGAAGAGGGCAAAGGGGATAAATGGTGATGGGAAAAATAGAAAAACAAACACCCCAACAATTTCTAAATGACACGTATCCGCTACCATTGAGCAAGAAGTGGTTTAAAAAACATGGGTCACCCAGCCCACCTCTCAAAGACATAACCAAGGCAATGTGACCTAACTTATACTGCCATCCCAGGGGAGCGGGGGTGTGTGGGGGGGGGGGGCAGAGGGTGAGGCTCTTCCTGCTCCGCAGGACAAGGACAACTGAACTCGGGGCGTCTGGCCTCTCGTCCTCTGCATCACGTGATAAGCTGCTCTGGAAACTCCCTGAGCCCAGGCCCCTCCCTGTCTTTGAAAGGAAGCCATGTAATTAGCGGCATCCGCTTGTGCTTTGACAAATCCAGAGCTCACACCCATTAAGCATTTGCCGCGTCCCTGTCACTGTGCCAGTTACTGTACTTACACACAGGCACACGTAACATGCTTTGTGGTCCTTATTATGCTCCGCATTTCACAGATGACAGAAACCGAGGCTCAGAGCTTAAATAATTCAGTCAACTGGAGTTTGAATCATTTTTTCCCCCCGAACATGCAGCATTTGGCCTCACTTTAAAGAGTTGGACTGGGCTGAAAACCTCATCAGTGAAATCCGCTCACAACGTACCCTTAAGAAAACGCAACCCCACCTCGTTGTATGTGTTTATAATGATCTTCACCTTGGCTCCCGCCTGGAGCACAGGAACCAGGGAAGGATCAAGTATCTTACACCCTCCCATCAAGGCTGAACATTTTTAATGATGAGCAAACAGTATCAGGTGTTTTCCTTGTAAAATTAATCAATTTGTGCCGTGCATCCACTTCGTGCCACAGCTCTGCCGAGCGAGTGAATGGCAGGTGTGTACAGTTCATCTACCCACTCGTTCCCCTCACAGCACCTGGCCCAGCGTCCACCCATCGGCACTCCGTTACAGAAGCTCAGGCACAACCGTGCTCCCTGGAAGGGTTATCCCACCAGCAGTCAGAGGACACCTCTCCTCTCTTCTGCAGACCATTCCTCGAGTCTAGTTCCAGCAAGCACGCTTGTTCTTTGACCGATGGATGCCTAACCATCTTCCTTTGTGGCGTAGAACTTGCAGCTGAACCAAGGCAGGGGCACCCTGAGGCAGAGCTCTAGGGAGGACCACACGCTCCGATAAACCAGATGCCCAAGACGGAACCAGGAGGGCCACCTCGCTGCTGCCTGGGGTTTTCACCCGTGTTGGCAATGTTCTTACCCAGTTTCAACAACGCAGTAACTAACCACCCTATAGCGCATCCCTAAAAGCTACGAGGTCCTCAGTTACACCGAGAGTTGCCAAAGATTAAATAAACAGTTGACCCCGGAACAAATGCAGGGGTGAGGGGCACCACCCACCCGAGCAGTTGAAAAGCCACATGTAAGTTCAGTCGGCACTCACACACTCCAATTTCCAGCCAAGTTAGAGAATACAGTTGACCCTTGAATTACATGGGTTTGAACTACTTGGGTCCAATACGAGAACCCAAGCAGTTCAAGCCTGCGTTGCTCAAGGGTCAGCTGTGATGCGAGAGTTCAGTGCATTTAATGGAGCCCAGTTGCTGAACGGTGGTATCCACGGACGTCTGTGCTAACGGCCACTTTTTAGATAGAATATGAACATGAACATCAGAACTTCCAGTCAACCTGGAGGACAAAAAGTTCACCACACACCTGAGTAAGGAGCACTTCTGTCCATCACACATTTTCAACCGAATTTCAGAAAAAGGTGCACTGAATGGAGATTTGATATGACCAGACGTTTCAAGTGTTAAAAAAAGTTCAGCTACCCCAAGCCCCAGGAGTTCCTGGTGATCGTGACACAGTGACCTGAAGGTGGTGACTCATGCTGTGCAGCTGCTCCCCCTTCTATTCCCCCCCATAAGCTGCTCCCCCACATGAGCCGCTCCCCCAAGCAAGCCCTCTGCAGAGAAAGTACCAGGGGGAGGCGTGGGGAATGGCCCAGACCCAACCGAACGAAGTGGAGGATTAAAACAGGATGCAGAGCAGGGGGGAAAGGAAGTGAGGGTTCAGGAAGCCTGGTGAGTTGGGAACGTCGCTGAATGAGGATGAGCAGGAGGAGAAACACGCAGAAATCGAAGGCAGATCCAGAACTGACAAAAGGTTTGAGGTACTGAAACCAGGAGGGGAAGTGGCGTGGAGGGCTTCCGCGGTGGGGACAGAAATCAGCTGTAATGTTTTACATTTCTAAAGGAAGTCTACCGTCATCGCATGTTCAGCGAAGTGCAGCAACAGGTGTGGAGCTACACCCGGGGCCCCTGGCGAGGGGACAGGAGCCCAGCCCCCGGGCACTCACCGGCCGTTGTCGCGGCCCACGCCCCACACGCGGATGCTCACGATGGGCTGCGAGTGGAGCACCGTGCGGTCCATGGGGTCCACCAGGCTGAGCGTGTCGTTCTCCAGGATCAGGTACATGTCCTTCCCCTGGAGCCAAAGAGAGCCCGTTACCCTCCTCCCGAAGCGCACACGCCCTCGCCAGGTCTGCGGCTGCCTAGGATGTCCTTTCAACGAGCAAAAGAAGCCACCCCGTGGTCTCGAATGTGTTCTCCTAAAGCAGTGGTTCTCAACCTTCTGGCCCTTTAAATACAGTTCCTCCTGTTGTGACCCAACCATAAAATTATTTTCGCTGCTACTTCATAACTGTAATGTTGCTACTGTTATGAATCGTAATGTAAATATCTGATATGCAGGATGGTCTTAGGCAACCCCTGTGAAAGGGTCGTTCGACCGCCAAAGGGGTCGCGACCCACAGGTTGAGAACCGCTGTCCTAAAGGGAGAAACACCCTCTCCTGAGTAAAATATTCATAAATCTTTCATATTTCCTCACATCCCAACTTCTCTCTCCCTCCCCAAGTCCTCTGGAAAGTGTCCCTGGCCTGCTTTCTAGGCGGTTCTATTTTTTCATTATTTACACTTCTGCATTTTCAAGAAAAAGGTGAGTTCCCTGGAGAATCTGGTCCCCCACCAGCTCCATGCCCGGCGTCCTCACACAACCATGCTCTCCCCATTCCTTCCCCTGGCCAGACCCCAGCAGGCCCCCTCAACGGCCTCTCAGAGCCACAGCGATGTCCGTCCCTTCTCACCTCTCACGCCACTCCATGCCTGTGTGATGTGGCTGGCAAATACCTTGCTCCAGGTCTGACACAGCCTGTGATGCCGTTAGCTACAGGGTGTTGTGCACATACACCACTGCAGGGGGGAGGTCATGGCTTCTCTCCCACATTACCACTCAGGCTTTCGGCTTCGGTCTCCTGTCCCCCCACAGGGGTTGGCCCTTTGAGGGCGGGAATGCTAACTATTCAACTTTATTCCCCCTGAAATTCCTGAAGCATAATTTTAAGAAATGATTCAACTCTGATGTACAACTGAAAGACTGTGCCTCCTGAAGGTCACGGTCACCCCTGGTGCCGTGTGAGGGAGGCCAGGCTGGGAGAACGGTGAGGCTTCCTGGTGGGTCTTCAAGTCCCGAAGCAGGACAACTGAGTTCCTCTGAGGCCTGGCATTTGAGAAGGATGTTATAGGTCCCCGTCCAAAGTTCTCAGAGTGAATACAAGCTCCATTGCTTCCGTGGCAGACATGGGTTTCGGTGCCTCTGCTGGACAACGTGTAAGCTGAGAGTCTACGTCTGCGATCCAGGATCATCTGAAATCTCCCCAAAGGGCAGGGGAGCCGTTTCCAGAAGAGAGCCATGGCAGAAAGCACAGCCCGCGCAGGACTTCGGAGCCGGAGCGACAGGCTGCCGGCTACCTCAGATCCACGGCACCCCAAGCATCCTTGCTAGGGAACTGCAGCTCATTCAGCTTGTGTGGGGGAGGGGGACAGGGCCCATGTGGCCACTTCAAGGTCACAGCTGTGTCCAGGCCTTGGGCAAAGGGCCAATCCTTCATTAACTAGTTTGCAGGTTAACCGTGACTGAGGTGCGGGTCCTGGAGAGATTCAGTTGCCCAGCATCTCACGGATGTTGGTCAGTAGCTGAGCAACGGTTCGCAGAGCAAGAAGAGGAGCCAAGCTGCCAACACCTTACACTGTCCTTCAGCTACAGGCTGGGCTCCTGGCCTCCAGACCACACAGCAGTGCCAGGAGCTGCATGATCGCTGAGACTGGGGATCCAGAGAGCAGAGCAGGGCCCAGGTCCCCCTGGGGCCACCAGGGATGTGCTTTGATTTAACAGAGTTGCTAAGGATTTTTGGTGCCTTCTTCTCTCTGTCCCTTTCCACCAAGACTGAAGCACTGGCTGCAGCCTGAAGGAGGTCCTCAGCCAGACCCACGAGGGGATGGCTCCCAGCACAACCCCCTTCTGTGCAGCTGCTTCATGGCAAACACTTTTCGGGACTAACAGACGGAGGGGCTCTCTGTGGCTGACATCACCACCTGACATGCCAAACACGCTTTTCCGGGTGTGGCCCACAGTGCGGTCAAGTCCCCCTCAGGAGCTGGGAGATGCACTTCCTGCGGCCTGGTTCAGCTGAAACACCTCGGCTGGGCCTCCCACAGCCAACAGGCTCTGCTCACTGGGAGGGACCAAGCTGGGTAGACTCGTGTGGCAGCTCTACTCCGAGACGCTCCCGGCGTGCCGGCTGGCAGGTCTCAGAGCCCGGCAGGGATCGGTTTTTCATATTTCCATGATTTCTATGGATCTTTCATATTGATATGTATTATTTTCTTTTCTGAAATGATCTCAACTGATATTTCAAAGTGGATTTACTTTGTTCAAAGTGAGAAAGAGTAGATAGGTCTCGATTTCAAAGCTCATGTATAAAGTTGACTTTCAGATTGTCAATAAAGAATATGTTAGAAAGAAAAATTTTTCCAACTTTTAGAGCAGCCACATCGACACTTCTGTGTGTATGTGTGGGGACCACATTCCCCTTTGAGGACATACTTTGTGAGGGCCATGGGTCTTCTTCTTATAGCCTCGCACGCCCAGTTGTGCACGCAAATCCAAGGGGTTTTCTGGGCCCTAAAGTCCACAGTGGGTTCCTGGGGACTCAGGGATCGCAGGTTAGACCCTGTCACTGAGACGTGGAGAACGTTCTCTCCCAGGGCCCCATCCTCCCTGGGACCGGACACTGCTAATGGGTGCCTCTTGCCCACACTACCTGCCTCTGGGGAAATGTACCTGCTGCACCCCCGTTGCCCCTCAGGACCACGTCCCACGAAGCCAGAGGGATGGAACCAAGCCTGCCATTCATTGCCCCCACGCGTTACTCACCTCTCCCCAGATGCCGACCGTGTCCCGGATGTCGTTTTTGCAGTAAGAGAGCTGCCGGATGCAGTTGTTGACGGCAACACTGCTCTTCCCAGGGGCGAGGTCGTCCTCTGCCATTTCTACCCATCCCAGGGAGCGCACAGCAAAACACTGGAAGACAGAGTCAGGAACGTGAAATTCCTCACAGGTCACAGGTCACTCTCCGTCAATCTACCATAAAGACCCCTGCAAGGTATTCCTAATGAGCCTTTAGCTGCTACATCATGTTCTATCTCATCCCTATTTTTTTAAAAATTTAATTTATTGGTGTGACATTGGGCAACATGAACATGTAGGTTCGGGTGTGGGTTTCTATGTTACAAGAGCTGTAGATTGCACCATGTGCCCACCACCCAAAGTCAAACCTCGTTGTCACCCCCTTCTCCCCATCCCTATTGTTGGAAAATTACACTGTGACTTTTTTTGCTATTAGAAAGTGTAGTGATAAATATCATATTGCCTAACTTCCTGTGTGTGTGCTCAGATTTTTTTCTTAGAATAGATAACTAGAAGTGGAATTATAAAAACTTGTAAGCTCATTTATCTATTAGAAGGCAGTTTTTTTCATCGTAAGAAGTTAGTTGTTAGCACCTAGAAAAAGACAATGGGAGAGAGAATGAATCAAGTCCGTGTTAGGCACTTTAATAACGACAAGGCAAAATGTATCCTCTAATGCCCAGAAGTGGAGGGAAACGGGGAAAATGTGCTTCCGTGACAGTCGGTCTCAGCTCCTACCGCTTGTTATGAGCACCACATCCCGCGAAGCCTGCAGAATGGCCGGGCTCGTGAGACACCTTAAAGCGCAAGCTCCATTTGTTCTTTTATCATTTGGAGATATTTTGAGATGACGCTCCTTGTCTTTTAAAAGTTCAGCTATCCAATTAAAGTAATATAAAAAGCATCGTATGCATATCGCAACACGTAAACAATCCAAAGACGTATAAAGAAAGAAATCCCCGGGACCCATGCGGGCTGCAGCATCCGCTTTGCTGATCATCAGCAGGGTGGCCGGGTGGCTGGACTGGGTCCCTCACCTGAGCCTGCAGCCCGGGCCCTTTACCCCCCTTGGAGGGTTGGGTCCCTCCGAGCTTGCATCAGTGGAAGAGACCACCTTCCCGGGACGGGGGGAGAGGGGGGCATCTTGTAAAGTTTCCCAAAGTGAATGTCACAATAAAATGAAGAAACGCAGCCAATTGTCCCAAAGTGACCCCTTCAGTCCAGTTCAACCTTCCCCGTCTCAGCCTCCCGGTCCAGACTCCTTCCCGAGTTGTTAATCACAGTATCTCAGGGGAAACACACACACACACAATTACCAAAGGCAACCTCCTTAAGCCCAGTGCATGAGGATCCTCCCATCCTATAGAGCAGTGGTTCTCAACCTGTGGGTCTCGACCCCTTTGGCGGTCAAACGACCCATTCACAGGGGTCTCCTAAGACCATCCTGCATATCAGATATTTACATTACGATTCATAACAGTAGCAACATTACAGTTAGGAAGTAGCAATGAAAATAATTTTATGGTTGGGTCACAACATGAGGAACTGTATTTAAAGGGCCAGAAGGTTGAGAACCACTGCTATAGAAGTACTGAGGTACCTGTGTGACCACCAGGAGCAGAACCGCTGCCACATGCTGATGGTGCCTATGGGCCGTTTACAAATACACCAAAAAGAGAAGGTTGCCCCTGTGATGACTGCGAAAGCTCCTCAGGGCCCTGTGTCCTGGGGAGAGGTCTGGGAGATGCCCTCACATCCCCTCTGCCGGCGTGTGTGCCCACTGCAGTGCGACTGCTCGATGTCATTACAGGTTTTTAAAAAATATGTCTTTATTAATTTCGGGGAGAGGAAGGGAGAGGAGAGAGCAATAGAAACACCAATGATGATAGAGAGTCATTGATTGGCTGCCTTCTGCACGCCCCCTACTGGGGATCCAGCCCGCAACCCGGGCATGTGCCCTTGACTGGAATAGAACCCGGGGCCCTTCAGTCCATAGGCCAACGCTCTATCCACTGAGCCAAATCAGCTAGGGCTCAATGCAGTTTTGAGTGCATGGCTCTAGAGTAGGGATCGTCTGGATTCAAATCTTAGCTCTTAGATGCACTGGTACTGTGATTGTGGGAAAGTGATATACAAAGTCCCAATTTTTTTTTCATTTCTAAAAATAGGAATAACGACTGTTACCTCTCAGGGTTCTCACTAGGAGAAAACAATGTAATATAGCAAGAGAGCCCGCATGTAGAAAACACTCAATGAACATGTGTTGAGTGAAAGAGCGAATGAATACAGTGCCGCATAAATCTTAACGAGGGTCGTCAAAGGGGAGACGGACAGGAGCGGAACATTGGTACTTAGGGTGACCACTCATTTCAGTTGTCCCCAGGATGGCTCAGGCTCATGTCTGTTGTTGTGGCAAAATCATTAAGAGCAGCTCCCAGTTTGAATAATAAATTATTACAGTCACTCTAGTCAAAATTCCAGCCACTCAGCGCTGGTATGGAAATAGGCTTGGACAGGATACCGAGATGTCCAAGTGGAAATGGGGTTCAAAATCATCAGAAGTTTCTTGGTGATCCTGGGTTTGAACCCTAAGAAACCAGTATTAATGTGGGATGTCCTTAAAGCTAGAAGCCAGGATCATATTTTTTAACTTCCTCTAATTGCCTACTACAACATCCTACAGACTATGAATACCCAAAAGAATTTATTAACAATAAGGAAGGTAAGAAACAAAAATATTGGCTGCTTTTTGTCCCTTGAGTCCAAGAACACCTGGATTTCAAACTCAACCAGCTCACTAAAAAATATCAAGGGCATTTTTCTTGCCTAAGAAATGCAAATGGCTAACTAATCGGACCAGAGCACATTAAGTATATTGTTTTGTCATGCTGATAAAGAGAAAACAAAAGCCCTAAATATATGATTATAAAGATTTTATTTTAAGTGATTTTCCTTGTACAATCCTGCTCTTGCAGTTTAGTTTCTAATTTGGAAAGCTTCACCACCAGAGCAAGAGAAAAGTGGGTGTATGGGGAATAACTGAGCTCCGCCAGGGAATGCGCTCAGCTTCCTCCCAAGGACGGAGCAGCAAAGAGCAACCTGTGCTGTTTGGTGCTGCCCCCGTGTGCCCTGGAAGGTTTATAACCACCATCACTTTTCCTTTGGGGGGGACGTGTGTTTGTGTGTGTGTGTGTGTTTGTGTGTGTATTTAATGGTTTCCATACTGATCAGCTCTGGGAAGACTCATTTCAGAGTATGGGAAGAGTTCAAAATATGTAATAAAACTGCCTTTAAAAATGCTTTTTCAATTTTTGAATAAAGCTCACTAGTTGCACTTTGATTGATGCTCGTTCTTCAAAGTTCTTAACCAAAAGAGCAAAAATGAGTAATGGGTTAGAGTATGCACTGTGCCATCAGATGAATCTGGATTCAGTCATAATCTTGCTATTTACCAGCTGCTGACTCTGGGCAAGTCACTTCAGGTTTCTAAGTCTCAGTTTCTTCATCTGTAAAATGGGACTAAAAATAGTACCTATACTTTACAGTACCACTGTGAGGACTAAATGAGGTAAAATGCTGGTAAAGTGCTTTGTATACTGCCTGGCATACAGTAAGAACTCAATAATGTTCATTATTATTATTACTAGAGGCCCAGCGCACAAAATTGTGTGCGGGTAGGGTCCCTAGGCCTAGCCTGTGATCAGACCCATCTTCCACCCACTCGCCAGCCCCTGGTCCCGCCCCCACCGCCCCTGCCAGCCATCTGGTTCCCCTCACTGGTTCCCCTCACCGGCCCCGGATCCCGCCCCCTGCCACCACCAGCCACCCGGTTCCCCTTGCCAGCCCCCCACCTCATAGCGACTGGTCAAGCGGTCATTCCGGTCGTTATGCTTATGGTCGCTGGCCTTTTATTATATAGGATTGATACATTTAATTCTTTTCTATGTGTGGATTTTAACGATTTTTCTAGTTTAACCGATTTTAGCCAAGCTAGCACATGGAGTGGAGGGGAGGTACTGTAGATCGTGGTATGTGTGAGCACACCACCTAGAGGGCTTTGTTAAAACGCAGAAAACTGGGCCCATCCCCATGGTTTCTGATTCAGTGAGTGAGGGTAGGGCTCGAGAATCTGCTTTGTGCACACTGTCCAGCAGAGGGTGCCACCACAGTTCCTTCTTTCCTTCCTTCCCCCTCCTTTTTTCCTTCCCTCCCCAACCCCAACCCCTGGTAACAGATACTGAAGGTAAGGCATCTCCATGGAGACAGGGGAAATACAGCTGCAATCAACTGAGGCCTGTGCTCTGTCCGCCACACTGCTGTTCACACAGTGTTCTGTGATGGCCTGTTGTCAGGCTCAGGGACAACCTGAGGGCGGGGCCAAGGGTCAGCCCACTGTGGGGCTGGGGCCCCCGGGCCTCCTCAGCTAGAGTGCTGCTCCTTCTCTTACACCAAAGGCTTCCTGCTGTTCAAGAACAGCCGGTGCTCCCAGCAACGACAAATCCTCTACAATGCCTGGCCCACTGTCACTCTTCCTTAACATGCTGAGTGGAGTGAATTGTCACCACATTATTAACAATATCAGCTTAAAAATAAAAACCAGAACGTCAATTTATTAATTTCCAGAGAGAAACATGTCTAACTGGATGCTTGGGTTGGCTAACAGGAGGATTTGTTCTCGAGAGAAAACCCACTCCTGTTTCTAGTGACCAGCCCACTGCAGGCCGCTGAGCGAAGACGCAAGCAGAGGAGCCCACTTCCGCATCCCAGTGGCCAGGGTCCTTGGAGATGCATGGCCAGCGTGCCAGAGACAGGCCTCTGGGTTGTGATTTAGTGTGAACACAGTTAACTGTATGAGTCATGTCCTGCCCAGGAGCCAGGCTGCTCTTCTGAGGCCTATTTTTATCAATGGAAAAGCTGAGTGGAGGAGGGTTCAACCAAGAGACTTAGCCCAATGTTTCAAATGTCCCAGGACAGGTTATGTGTACATGCACACTTCAACCCAAACTTGCAGGCGTATCACACTGCACATGTTCACGTGATCTTCGCCATCTTACTAGCGGTGACCATTTACCGAGAACTTTATATATTCTGTGCTGAGTATTTTCTATATAAAA